CATGGCTGCTGCACCGCAAAGCAGGAATCATGCATCTACCTGCACTCTAGACAACCCGTGCTCTACTAGAAAGTGCCCAGTGGGGTCGTTGACGTGCGCGCGTGATTTGACATCGCGAATCGCGGCCAGGGTCCACCAATTGGCGTCACAAAGATAAGCCCAGACGGACAACACAACACGGTAGCATTGCGCTATCTCTCACTGGCGCAATTTCTGACTCTTCTCACGACCTCAGAGTCCTGCGACACGTATGCGACCGTGATCTGTGCCGACTCGTCGTCTACGACTTTGCGACCACAGCTAGCCAGCCCGTCAAGATGGGGAGGAATCGCGCTGTGTCCAACGCCTCGACGCGGAGCAGCGAGCCGCCTTTACAAGTAGGTATGGACATGGCTAGAACCGTGCAGAGCCTTCCTAAACTTTGACAGGAGCTGGGAAGCATGTATGACTACCTGGCAAAGGTAATATTGCTGGGTCCTAGCGGTGCTGGCAAGTAAGTCTGCGATAAGGCAAGTATTCACTGCAAACACCTAGTAACTGAGCAACATAGATCCTGTCTTTTGCATCGTTTTGTTAAATCCGAATGTACTTCTGTCGCGCCTCCTCCCATTGCACATCGGTCTAACCACTACTCCAGGGCGCTCTCTGTCTAGCCAAACAATCGGTGTAGAATTCGCATCCAAAATCGTCCACATTGCCGACCGCCGCCGCTCCCCCTCCTCTTCTGCGTCGCGAAAACGAATGAAGCTACAGCTCTGGGACACTGCCGGCACAGAACGCTTCCGCTCCGTGTCGCGATCCTACTACCGCGGCGCGGCGGGTGCGATACTTGTCTATGACGTGAGCAGCTGGCGGAGCTTTGAGCAATTGCAAACTTTCCTCAACGATGCAAGGGCGCTGGCCGGGCCCGACCTTACCATTATACTTGTAGGGAACAAGAATGACGTTGAGACTGGCGAGGGAATTCCTGTAGGCTTGAGCAGCAGCCAAGGCGCCAGCGGAGGGGGATATTCCAGTTATGGGAGCACACCAAGTTCAGAGAGCGGACTACCGCCGCCTACACCATCGCCGCAATCCAGCAGAGGAACGAGCCTCAATGCGAATCTCCATGCTTCGTACACGATAGCCCCCGAAGGCCGCGAGGTGCCCACCGAGACGGCGTCGCGATGGGCGGGGCAGAACGGGATACCAGTTGCGGTCGAGGTCTCCGCACTAAATGGAGAGAATGTGGAGGAGCTGTTCAACAGATTGGCGAGGATGATCTTGACCAAGATTGAGCTGGGCGAGATTGATCCTGACGACCCTGCGAGTGGCATCCAGTATGGTGATTTGGGCTGGGACGACGGTGGAGGCAGTATCAAGAGTGGGTTTGGGGACGACGGTGTCAGATACCGCAAAAGAGGAAGGAAATCTGGTGCGCTGAGCGAATGGGAAGACGTATTCAGACTCGGCGGGAACAGACGGAAAAGAGGCTGTTGTTAAGAGTTATTCTCGTATACGATGGACTGAAACAGTGCGTTTACAAGCGATTTTTTGGTTGAAGCTCTTTATTTTTTGCGGCGCGTTATTTTGCAGTCACGTAGCAGCTTTCCCTCTGATTAGACAGCATACCCCCTTTGAGTTTTGTTTGTCCCTTACGAGAATACACGATCTTACTAGACCCCAGATTTTGGACAGGCTCACGCTACATGGGTTATCCTTGTATGTTGTATTTTGTCCCCAGTTATTTGCATCTGGTTTGGACAAAATGGCCAGACATCGCTGACTACCGCCGAGAGTTGCGACTTTGAACGCGAAATTTCAACAACACAGCGAGAATTGATGAACTATGAAGTAAACTGGGTAGATTTGAAAGGCCTTGCCTTGAGCATATCTGTAGAGATGTCAAGTAAAATCCATGTGCAAAGACAGTTGTTTGTTCAGTCTGTTCGACAGCGAAACACATGGAAACCAGCGATTTTGCTAAGTATCCAACGGTGCGCGGCTGTTTCGGGTACGCTACTGTACAAGCGTTTACCTATCTGCCAATCACCGTTTGCGATTTGGCGCTTTAGCCGTGTTGATATTGGCGTATGTGTGTCGTCATGCATTGTTCCTACATCAACACCCCACTACGCCGCGCCAGCGCGTACGCATACGGACGATATACCGGAGGCCTGTTGCGCATATACGCTTGGAAGTTCTGATCTTGAAAGGCACAAGGTACTAAAAGAGATGAAAAATCTTCCTCGCCTCTTGTGGCAATAAGAAGGCGACAAAGAAACGCTGCATGTATCCGCTAAAACGCGTCCAAAACCTCGGTCTCGCCCTGGGCTCGCCACATCACGCAGATCGCGTTACTTGCCCTAACTTCGGCTGTCAGACATGTTCCTGGAAGTGGCGCGGAATATTAGCATGGTCCTTTGCATGACTGAGTCGCCTTCCAACATGAACGCATGCACTATTATCGCAGCTTTTCCTTGTTCGAGTCGCCTTCTTCCCACACATGCACATACCCTTTCCTCAGGATTCTCATTGCATTTTCCTTTCTCGTATCGAATTTTCCGCTTAATTCAAGAATAAAAAGTCGTCGCGTGCTGTATTTTTCATTCACGCTGTTGTCCTCACGAGCGTTTAGATCACTCGCCACCATCAGAATGCCTTTGCTTAATCGCCTGAACCCCACGCCTGCATTCCCCGCACATACCGGCCCATACAAGGTCGGATCAGCAGATGTAGAAATACCTTCGAGCGAATTAGCGAGTCAGAGTGAAAACGCCCCTCCCGCAGAATTACCTACAGTGGCTTTTCGTGTTTTCTACCCGTGCAAGCAGGGTAGTAACGAAAGAGCTGTAAGATGGCTACCAAATCCGCAGCGGGAGTATCTCAGCGCGTATGCGAAATTCCTGGGTGCCAATAGTGTATTTGCTAAAGTATTCTCGTAAGTTACTCACGGAGAAAAGCCCTCGTGTGCAAGTGATCAGCACTAACACACGCGCAGGCTATTACCTCAATTATTATACTATGTTTCAATGCCTGTACACCAAAACGCAGAGCTCTTGGCTCCACCACCAAAATCTAGTCGATGGCCTGTCATGGTCTTCTCACACGGCCTGGGTGGCACCAGGAACGCGTATTCGCAAATTTGTGGCTCACTGGCAAGCCATGGAGTAGTAGTTGTCGCAGCAGATCACCGTGATGGTAGCTCACCTCTAGCTATCCACCATACACCAGATGACAAGGAAAAGTTGAAGCGAGTAGAATTCAATTCAATATCCTATTATCCCAGTACGGAAGCGTACCAAGGAAGAGACGAGCAATTGCGGATTCGGCTATGGGAGTTGGGAATGATACACGACGCGCTATTGAAGATTGACGAGGGCCGACAGCTGAAGAACGTTGCGCAAGATCAACCCAAAGGAAAAAGTGTATTGGGCATGTTCTCGAATCTGCTTAATATCCACGAACCGGGTGCTGTCAGTTTCGCAGGACACTCCTTTGGCGGATGCACAATGGTTCAATTTGTCAAGTCGATCTACTACCGGCCTCAAGGACGGATCCCGGATTACAAACCACTTTACATCCCTTCCGAAGATTCGAGCATTGTTCGCCAGATCACGCCTTCCAATCCCATTGTTCTGCTGGACTTGTACACGATGCCCATCCAAAGCCCAGACACTGCATGGCTCAGAAGCAAACCAATGCCATGTTACGACTCCCCCAATGGTGGCAAGAACCTCCTCGCCATCTCCTCCGAAGGCTTCTACAAATGGGCCTCCAACTTCCGAGAAACAAAACGCATCATCGCCAAGCCATCACCGTCAAATTCAAAGTACCCAGCTCAGCCTGGTCCACACATCTTGTACCCCACCGCCTCAGCCCACCTGTCCCAAAGCGATTTTGGCGTCTTATTTCCCTGGTTAACAACAAAATTCTTTGGCGTCAAAGAGCCCGAACGCGTACTCAAACTCAATACCCGCGCTATACTGCAGGTTCTCCGTGAAAATGGTGTTCGCGTCGGTAATACCAGCGCAGCTGACCTCGAGCTTGAGGATCCAACCGCAAGTCAAACAAACGACACGACGATTCTCAGTCGCACCAAAGATAGCGTCCGTGGATGGGTTAATTTGAGCGCAGAGGTGGAAGGCGGTCTGGATTTTACGGGGTTGAAGAAAGTTGAGGGGAAGAATGTGGTTAGTACGCCTACAGAGAGGGTAGGCAGTGAAGGCAAGGGACCGGCAGATGCGGTGGTTGAGGGAGAGGGTCTCGGACAGGTTGTTGAAGGGAGTGAGAAGTGAGTGTACGATTTGGCGGTGAGAGATAGATGAGCGAGTAATAGAACTAGAAAGCAAGGTGTTTCTTTTATCTGTATGTTTTTTATATACCTCTAGTACACATTGGAATAGTTATTGTTTGAAGAGGATGTGTTATTTCACTTGTGATATCGAAGAAAGAGAGACATGGATATGTATTACTTTGGATATTGACAAGCCGCTTCGAAAACTACCTGTGTCATATAGTCCTGAACAGAAGCTAGGCCACACCGTAATTGCATGGTAAAGCTACTCTGTAGTTTAGTTCTTGGTCTAAAGGGCTCATGTAGTGACTGCCTGGCGCTAGCTTTACCACAAAATCCGCGAGATGTACGCAGAGAGTGTCGTGTAGTGCATATCTTCACTTATTTTAGTTCAAGACTAATCTAAACGCTTTATAAGTCTGGAATTCTTAACTAAGCCCTTTAACTAAGCATAAATGTAGCACATAATCATGTTTACGGCAGTCTTATCTAGATATTGAGCGGTGCACTATTTGAACAGTAGTGAAATGATATGTGGCACTGCTTATTGCTCATGATACACACAGCTGCCACCCTCACCGCCCATTCTCTGTGCAGCGTTTGGCTCGTTTGCTGTTTGCTTGCTTGCAGGCCAGACTCACTCGCGGCTAGTCTAATACATAACAAGCACGATCCATCTCACTACATCACCGTCGGCCAACCTAATCAACTCAACCAACCCGACATGGCTAATCAGAGAGAGGTAATTTCAATGCAACCACCAGCATGGATGCTGGTAGCGGCACGAAATGCTATAAAAGTATCAGGTGTCAACCCAGAAGAAGCATTCGCTGCCAGGATCCGTGACGCAAGGAAGCAGGCAAAAGCAGGTAGCAAACAGCACCAAGAAACAGAAAGCTTGCTAGCAAAGAAGCTAAGGGAACTGATTCCGAATTCAGTATTGAAATCTTCGGATAGGTTTGAACAGGAGAAGGTCAGCGAAGAGTCCAGCGGCAATGAGCGACAACTTGCAAAAACAAGCTCTACTCCTACCGTGGTCATCCTTAAAAAGATTATACAAGCACCAGACAACAACAAGCGAAAGGAGGCATTAAAAACCCCAGAAAAATATCAGGGTAAGAAAGTAAGGTTCCTTACTGAGCAGGTAGAAAAGGGCTCGTCACTGAAAGACGCTGCACGCCAATCACAAAAGGCGGCATCGACCACAACAGTAAACAATCCAAATCCCAAGGAGACCATTACTATATCGTCGAAATCACTATCATCTTCCCAGCCCAAAGTAGAGCAATATGCTGTACCCACAGACCTACCAGAATGGTACACCTCCATCTCCACTGATAGCATACACATGAAGAACCTGTCCAAACGGCGGCCCCCTGCTCTCACAACCCTAGACGCCCTCAAAGACCTCGCCCGCCAATGCGAAGATGCCCCCAAAAAGAACCGATCCAGTGATCTCCCCAACCTCTACAACAAACTCCGCGATCTCATCCACAAGGCCGAAATCACTCTCCCAGTAACCCCCTACATGCTCCGCAAAACCTACATGCTCTCCCCTCAAAACGGCCTCCCCCGAATCTTCCGTGCCGAAGCAAGCTTCCCGCCAGACATCAAAGCAGACAGCTATCAACTCTACAAGCGCTGGTACGCCGGTAACCTAACCCAAGACCTCCTCCGCGGCATCATCACTAAAAAATCCACAAACCGCTCCTCCGACTCCATCTGCCCTGCCTACCGCTCCAAATACCCTGTAACAGCAAAGTACATCGGCCAAGGCGACCTCGTCCCCGGCCAATGGTGGCCAACTCAACTCTGCGCCGTCCGCGACGGCGCCCACGGCACACCCCAAGGCGGCATCTTCGGCAGCAAACCCCACGGCGCCTACTCAATTGTCTTATCCAGCGGAACCGGGTACTCCGACCTCGATGAAGGGGATACAATCCATTATTCCGGCACCGAAAACAACGATAACGCCGGGTCTGTCACGGAGAATACAAAACACCTGCTTACGTCGCTGCAGACGCGGGATCCGGTGCGGGTGCTGCGGTCTGCGCAGTTGGGGAAGGGGAATAAGTATCGGCCGGAGAGGGGGATCAGGTATGATGGGTTGTATGTGGTGCAGGGGTATGAGGTGTTGGATGAGAAGAAGGGGATGCTGAGGTTTCGGCTGGAGAGGTGTGAGGGACAGGAGGGGATCAGGTGGGAGGGGGAGGCGAGGAGGCCAACGGTGTATGAGGTGAGGGAGTACGAGCGGTTGAAGGACGAGGGGGCGGGGATGGGGGATTGTTGAGAAATAAGGAGTCTTTTAGGCATGAAAAGGAAGAGATGGAGGTAAGGTTCTTTCTAGGCTCACATGGGGGTTTTTTGGGGGGGGGAGGTGAACATACAGTATTTGGGCTCTCTTATCTTTACCCCCCTTTGTATATGTAGTCAAGCATGAACAATAGTGGTAGTAGTCACACCACGAGACCCAAAGTGGCTAAAGAACTAGGATGAAAAAACTGCCTCATTTTTGCAGTTACCCTCTCATTGTATGCACGGTAACTTGGGAAATTATTGTCATTTCCGATTTCCAAACCACTCCAAAACCCAACGTAAGATAAAATACAAACACTATGTTCTCTACTCGTCATCGCTCTCTTCCTCATCATCTTCCATGTCCACATCGTCATCGCTCAGTCCCTCAATATCAACCTCCTCTTCATCCTCACTCGCCTCCTCCTCATCGTCATCCTCAAACACCTCGCCATTCTTCTTGCCCTCCATCTCAGCCTCCTTCCTCTTCTTATCATCTGTCTTGCGCGCATCATCCAGCATCCTGTGCTTCTGCTCTCTGGTCTTCCTTTGGCCTGCGACAAAGGCGCCTAGAGGAGTCTTCTCCCATTCTACATCCTTCAGGAAACCCTCAACACCGGCGCGGTTGTTGGGCGCAAACTCGACCTTGTTGCGCTTCTCTTCGACCCAACGCGAGTTTGCCTCGAGCTTTTGGACAAGAAGGGCCAGCATAGACGAGACCTTGTTGTTCTTGTTTCCGCCGCTCTTCTTAGTCATGGCCTTGACCCACCGCTTGAGCATGACGATGACAGGGAGTGCGAGTTCGGGGAAAGCGATGTTCTTAGTCCAGAGGACGAAGAACTCGGAAAGAAGCTCTGTGACTTGCTCGCCAATGCCATCTTGGTAGACGCGTGTGCGTAGGTAAGCCTTTGTCGCGCGGATGCTGACGTTGAAATCGAGCGACTTGAGAGTGCTGGGTTTCGGGGGTTTCTTCATTTCGGCCGAGTTTAGGACTTCCACAAGGGCGGGTGCAAGAGGAATGTAGGTCGAAGTTGCTTGAGAGATGCGAAGAAGGGAACGCACAAGTTGGAACCGAAGAGGGAAGTATTGCGATGTGGGGATGAGACGCATGGCTCCGAGCGTGACTTGGACGACGGGATAGATGAGCGGTCGTAGCGGTGATGCTTTTCCAGCCTCGGCTTCCCGAAGAGACTCGCAGTGCATCGAGACTACACGGGACCAGAAGTCTAGTGAATGGATGTACTGCCAGTTGTATACTGTCTTGTAAGAGTCTTTCGTCTTGTTTGTGATACTGGTCCGGAGATGTATGGCAAGTTGGCGGATGAAGCCAAAGCCAGTTGTGTATCCTACTGTTGGGTCGATACCCCAGAGTTCAGATGCAGTGTTCTTCATAAGATTGATGCCCTGTACGTTATGGACTGTAGTGTTTCTTGCGCCCTTGACAAGGCCTTGGTATGTTTGCTTCAAGACAGCCTCACGGATGCTTGGGTCGGCAATGACCAACAAGCGTCGCAACACAAGAAAGGCTGATACTCGGGTGCCGTCGTTGTTAGAGCTGTCAGCCCATACAGCGGCAACTGAGCGTGTGACCTCGCGAATGATCTTCTTGAACGAGAGAACGTAGGGAAGGAGGCTCGACAAGGAATCTAGGGTCATCTTCAACGTTTTCGCATCGGCCAGGTTCTCAAGCAGGTGGTGCATCGAGACGGTATGCGACTTGAGAAGGGGCGTAAGAGTGCGGAACTTTTTGGTATCGGTAGGAACGCGACTATTTTTGTTAACGATGGTTGTAAAGCACTGTAGTAGTATACTTACATTTTGCCGCCAGCACTCTCCTTGACAGGCAGATGATGTTGGAGGACCTTGGGGACGAGCTGAAGAGTAGTCACTTGGACCTGATGATATACTGCGAGCTGTTAGCGTTACCATGTTTTCAAGACACGGTCAACATACCATCGGGATCTGTTATCGAGTACTTGTACGACTTTCCACTGTCCTCATCGTTCATGTGTGCAGCAGAGCGGAATGCAAGAACAACTTCCTTCATGGCGCGCAAAGAGTGCTTGGACTCCATTGAAGCTTTCCATTTCTGAACAGTCTTGAGTGTAAGGTCGTTGCCTGTCGTCTCTGCCTCGTCGGACTTGTGTTTTTTCCGTGGCGTGGCCTCATCTTCACTGGCAGAGAGAGCGTCAATCTCAGCGAGGTCGGCGTCTTCGGCAAAGTCTAAAAGTTCGGCGTCGTTTTCCTTGAGGTATTTGTAGAACTCGGGGTCCTTTTCTGCCAGCCCAGCGAGCTGTTCCTTGTGGGTGTCCATGTCGTCGCCTGACTCGCTGTCTGATCCCGACTCGTCAGCGGCGCCAGATGCCTCTGCCATGTCCTCATCGGAGCCCTCTGAGACATCCTCGTCGACGGGTGTACGCTTTCGCTTGCCAGTCTTTGGCTTGGTCTTCTTCTTGCTCATCTCTGGGATCTGGAAGCCGCCCTCGAAGAATTGGTCCATGGACATCTCGCCCAGCTTGTCATCATTTGCCCCGTTCGTCTTGAGCCTCTTAGCAGCTGCTTCCTCTTCGACATCATCCGCGCGCGCATTGTCTCTGGCCTTGCGCTCTTTCTTCTTGGCGTCCATCTGCTTGCGCTGCTTGATCTTGGCGACATCTTTGCGGCGCTTGATGGTGTCGCCGAGCTTGTCCTTTTGGAACTTCTTGGTCGCCTTGGAGACGGGCATCTCGGCGGAATTGGGGGGTTTCGGTGGTGGGGGAGGTATTGCTGGCCAGACGTGCAGCTGGTGGTTGAAAAACTTGGGCGCTCGAAAAAGTTCCCAGCGCTAAGGGACCCTGCAACCACTAGCGCTTCCCCACGCCATGCACGCTTGACCAGGCCGCCGCCGACGCAACTTGGGCCTGGCACCTACACCATGAGTACGACGACTATTACACCTACAACTACGACTGTGTATACTTGACCTCCACCGCCATGTACAACAGCAGGCCCCTCGCATATGCGCCTACGCCTTATATTCCGCGCTCTAATTTGGCCGCGACCATCAATCTCGACGAGGTATGACGCGCCTCGGTCCCACCATGCCTTGCGCTGGTTACTAAATGGCTGCCTAGGAAGTCAAGCTCTCAACAACAAACGCGGAGCGCGACTTGAACGATTCTCTTGCCGAAATCTACAGCATCATCATCACTCTGGATGCCGTCGAGAAGGCCTACCTCAAGGACTCGATTGCCGAAGCCGACTACACCGAGACATGCAGCCGGTTAATGAAGCAGTACAAATCGAATCTCGCCAATGAGACGGTTGCACGAGCATTCGGTGATCTGGATCAGTTCGCCAGGGAGTGGCATGTATGTAAACGAGGCTGACGAGTACCTGTGCCGCGCTAACAGCACACCAGATGGAGTGTCCAAGGGCCGTCGAGCGATTGCGCGTCGGCATACCCGCTACCGTCGAACAAGGCTCATCGAGACCAGCTCAGCAAGGCGATTTTGGCGATGCGACACTTGTAGTCAATGCGACCGAGACGTTTATTACTCTGCTGGACGCTATTAAGATTGGACTCGTGGAGAAGGACACACTACATCCTCTTCTTGTTGAAATCATACAAGCAGTCAACAAGGTGACTGACGTCGACTTTGAAAACAAGGGCAAGATTGTCCAGTGGCTGATTACGCTGAACCAAATGCGCGCAGCCGACAAGCTGAACGACGAACAGGCGCGCGAGTTCCAGTTTGACATGGACCAGGCGTATTACGGCTTCAAGAGCACACTGAAGAAAGCATGAGAACGTCTTGGATGCGTGTTCCTGGCTTGGAGAAACCCATCATTGGTACTGTAAGCTCCTAGCCCCGCACGGGCCCGCTGGACTTGGGTGAGTACCGAGTATCGCACCCCGCTCGCCGATATTGCGACCGCGCCTCCGCCATAGTCAATTCAAAATGTCCATGCTACATGGTATGGATAGCGCCTATCATTTGTATGACTGGGTGCTAAAGTCTCCGTGCAGTCCTCGACCTTCCTCAAATCTACACCAAGCCCTCTGCTGAGGCCCTTCTCGATACCCTCAAACTTCTCACAACTGCCCCACCATCATGGGAGGAGCCTGGAGAATCGAAGCGCAAAGACGGACAAGCGCCGGCAGTCACAGTCAGTCCAGAAGGTGTCACAGGGTACCTCACGAGCATCATTGGCAGTGACCTACGGTGGATAGAGGGTGAAGAATTGAAGGAGCAGATCTGGGACCAAGCCAGCGCAAGGCTCAGCGAGCGCTCTGGACGGTCTGCCATGGGCGCAATGTCACGTTCATTTCACATTCCCACCTCCTCCGACGCTTTCAACCTCAGTATCCATGAACCGACTATGACTGGCGACGACCTGGGTCTGAAAACTTGGGCAGCCTCGTATCTCCTCGCGAAACGCCTCAGCTCGTTCGATCTGGTCCCCAAGGATACACAAAGTAGATTACAAGTCCTTGAACTTGGTTCGGGAACTGGGCTGGTTGGACTCGCCATGGCAGGCCTGGGTGCAGACGTCGTGCTGACAGACCTGCCCAGCATCTGCCCAAACCTTAAATACAACATACTTCAGAATGACGATGTGGTTAGCGGGAACAATGGAAGTGCTCGCGCAGCCGTGCTTGATTGGACTGAGCCTCAGGTCTGCGAGCCGCTACAGGACGACGGTGAGGCCGTGCCCGCAAAGTTTCCAGTAATCCTGGCTGCAGATTCGCTGTACTCTGCAGATCATCCCCGCATGCTGGTAGACGCGATTGCGGTTTGGCTTTCGCAGGATAGCGAGGCCAAGGTCATTGTGGAGTTTCCCTACAGAGATGCATATCTGCCGCAGATTGAAGACTTTCGCCGTCGGATGCTTGAGATTGGGCTGCAGATAGTGGATGAAGGTGAAGAGAAAGGATATGACGACTGGGGCGCGTCCAGGGCGAGCGGTGACCCAGACGACGGTGCGCTCGTGACATGTTGGTGGGCATGTTGGACGAGGAAAGGCTCAAGTGGTAAAAGGCCACCAGTCAATGGCTAAAGTTGGGCAGATTATCCTTTGGAAGATATGGCCACGCGATGCCTCGGCTTTTTGGCAGGGCCCCCCACGGACCACATACGTGGGGTTTTGTCTGGTCATTCGCATACTCGCGGCGGCGCACAGCAAGCAACCCTCGGAGCAACGCCGAGATGTTCAGACGGAACGGTCCAAGAAGAGTGATGCATGCGCCGGGTAATTAGTCCGGGTAATTAAAACGCTTCCAGACTCGAGCCTTTGGTCAACAGCCTTCTTGCTAACCTGGGCGGGATAGCTCGCTGCGAAGCTGTAGCTCGGGGGTCCACCCTTTGCATCGTCATTACATAGCACTTACCTGCGCGTGAGTTCTGAAAGATCATTCTTGCTTCTTCTTCTTTTCTCCCTCTCTTTGTAGATATTGAATTGAATCAATACAAACAATCACATTCATATCTTGCACATTACTCACAATGGCCACACAAACCGCTTCCCAAAAGGTACTTTACATTGCCCCGCCATAACCCCGCCATGCGCAACGCGACACGACAACATCGCGGCCAACATTCATAGCGGAGGAGCAGAAGATGACTGACACTTTGCTAGAACCCCTCTTTCGTTCTCCAAGAACCATTCAAAGTCACATATGAAGATCGGCCAATTCCTGAACTCCCATCACCATACGACGTTATTGTGCGGCCGCGATGGACTGGTATATGCGGTTCCGACGTGCACTACTGGGTCGAGGGACGCATCGGTCACTTTGTAGTTGAGAAGCCCATGGTGCTCGGCCACGAGTCTGCTGGTATCGTACACAAGGTCGGCGATAAAGTCAAGGGCCTGAAAGTCGGAGATGAAGTCGCCATGGAGCCTGGTGTGCCCTGCCGTCGCTGCGTGCGCTGCAAAGAGGGAAAGTACAACCTCTGCCCAGACATGGCATTCGCAGCAACACCCCCATACGACGGTACCCTCGCACGGTACTACACTCTTCCAGAAGACTACTGCTACAAGCTGCCCGGAAACATGAGCATGGAGGAGGGCGCGTTGATTGAGCCCACCGCCGTCGCTGTCCACATTACCCGCCAAGCAGCCATCAAGCCTGGTGACTCTGTTGTCGTATTCGGTGCCGGTCCCGTCGGTCTTCTCTGCTGTGCCGTCGCAAAGGCATACGGCGCAAAGAAGATTGTGACGGTTGACATCAACGACGAGCGTCTGGACTTTGCCCTCAACTACGCTGCCAACGCCAGTTTCAAGAGCGAGCGCGTAAGCGCAGAGGAGAATGCCAGGAACATGATCAAGCAGTGTGAATTGGGACCTGGTGCTGATGTTATTATCGATGCGTCTGGTGCAGAGCCTTGCATTCAGACTGCCATTCATGCTCTGCGCATGGGCGGAACATATGTTCAGGTACGTTTTTTTTTCAACTGGTGTTTGTTTATCTTCAAACTTGCTAACAAAATTTCTCAACAGGGCGGTATGGGCAAACCAGACATCACCTTTCCCATTGTAGCAATGTGCACAAAGGAACTCAACGTCAAGGGCTCCTTCCGCTACGGTCCCGGTGACTACCAGACTGCGATTGATCTTGTGGCTACCGGCCGTATCTCAGTCAAGGAGCTCATCACTGGCAAAGTCAAGTTTGAGGATGCAGAGAATGCGTTCAAGGATGTCAAGGGCGGCAAGGGCATCAAGATTTTGATCGAGGGTCCTGCCGAGTAGGTTTTATCTGGTGTATTAGAGGGTTTGTCTTGCGGTGTTATTGTTGTTTTGAGGGCGAAGAAGAGTAGATTTATGTCTCGTCACAATTTTTTCTTTTTTATCTCCCTGCAGCGAAGTAGATGCTGTTGTTTTTCTGGACGTTGATATGAAAATGAAGTAGTGTCTAGTAGTAAAATATGCCCGAGAAAAAAACAACGGCCATGTCATAGTCTATATTTTCAATTTTTTTTCTTGGAAGTGAAGCTAGATGTATATGTTTTTTCTTCCCTTCTAGAACACATCCTAACCATGAAACTTAATCTCTATGCTTTTCCCTTCTCGAAGTAATTTCTTGGTTTCCACACAGAAAAAAAAATAATGATAAAGAAATCAAGTATTTTTTTGCTTTTCTCTTCTTCTCTTTACAAAATTCTTACTACTTACTTCCACACTTTCCATCGTCTCCCCCCCAATTCTTCCCCACCCCAGCCATCCCACTGAAGCGCAAGACGTATGACCCCATCCTAGCCTACCCCCCCATTAACCCACGTGCAAGTGGAGTATTCCTCCCCCCCCCCCCCAAAAAAAAGGAAAAAAAATACAAAAAAGGGGAAAAAATACAAGGGAGGGAGAAAAGTGACGTGGGTGCATGTGTGGCTGTGGCTGAGTGTGTGGACATGGGAAGCCTGAAACACGACGTGTGTCACGCACATTCCTTTAGCACGTCAGTTTGATGGGTCGAGTAAAGACAGAGAAAGAGGGATTTTTATGCAGACATTGTATTGTTGAATTGATGCTGCCGTTTTTCTTTATGCAAGCGATACCCTTTTTTTTTGTTGACGTGCAGGTTTTTATGGGGGTTAAACTATGTTGCGTTTTTGTTGCTTGCGCGCGGTGTTTTCTGGGTGAGGAACAATGGCCATAGAGGCAAAGAGGTACACATACGCAGGCACGTTTATAATGTTGATATATTTTATTCTTGATTCTCTTGTATTTTTTTTTAAAAAAAACTTGATTGTGTAGATCGCGAGAAGGAATTCAGAATGGAGGCCCTCCCGCAAAAAAACGGGGGGTTGAATGCTTGACTTGAATACATGATCGTCATGACGATGACTATGGAGAAATCATTCGCGCATGCTATATGCCTTTCTCCCTCGCAACAAAAAAAAGTAACACGCGATATTTGGTATGATAAGAATGCGCCGGATTTGCCTTTCCCACGCTGCGGCTTTCTGCGGCCGGCGGGGAGATGAGAAAAAAAATATAGTTTAGTCGCTAAATCAAGAGTGTCTGCCAGAGATGTCGGGTTGCAAAAATGCGGAAAAAGGTACAGTCGTCTACATGGACAATGGGTACATGATTCATAAATCCCGGGTTGAAATGGGTGTGATGAAGCGAAATTGGGGGTTGTATGTGCTGAGATTATTCTGTCTGTGTACTGTGGACAAACTATACGCCTATTTTACGCGCAGTAGAGCCGCGCTTAGGTAGGGTCCATGGTTCGGGACAGACAATCTTGGAGAATGTTAGTATCATAGCAAGATAGAAGGAGAAAATATCATGTGCAACGTACCTCGCCTTCGCTGTATGCCCAAAAGTAAGCAAACATGCCGACAATGTAGTACAGGCCAGAGTTTGTGCCTTGGTAGATGAGGAGAGCACACAGGGCGCTGATCGGGTAGACGATGAGGCGTGCTTCGATTGAACGATGCAGGCCCGTACCAGCGAGCAACGGTAGGGGCCATTCCCAGGCGAGACCAATAACACCGAGAACTACATTGAGGACTTGCAGGACGGGAATGGGCTTGATAGCCCCATCGAGATTCTTGGTGAGGAAATCCCAGAAGATCTTGGGCCAGAAGAAGCAGTGGAATCCAGCGGCTATTTGGTCTATGGTGGTAAAGTTAGTAACGATGATGGTAGTGTGGGGAATGCAATGTACGGGAATTGGACTTACAGGCAGCAGCGGTGAGGATGACGAGACGCGCCCAGTGGTTCTTGATTAACTTGCCCATTGTGCAGAAATTATAAAGAAGGGATACGAGCAGTAAACCGAGCCCGCGGTCGTTTGAGAAAGAAAGTTAAATGATAAGAAGCGAAAAGAAGGGGGAGAGAAACAAAGAAAGAAAGTAAGCAGAAATGTCCCTTCGACTACCAGTAGCCTCGTTGACAGATGAGCAGCGGACGTGGGACGGAGGGGCAGGGCGGAGTTTGTTATAGGCAATGCGTCGGGTGCAACGGCGGTTCAGTAGAGGCTCAAAGCGGTAAGGCGTGGTTGAAGACAGGCACCGATGAGCAGAGTGGATAGATATTGCGCAAGTGCTATAGAGGGCTGAGGCGTAGGCGAGTCTCAGGCGTGTTAGGTGTTCAGGCAGCGTGGTGTTGCCGTTGAGCTTCGCGACGTGAGGTGTATCAGTATACCGGGAGCGACAGCGGGAATCGACCCCAATTGTAAAGACAATTATGCGCCATTCGGATCCTGGTTGTTTTTGGCTGGGCAGTGACTGGGGTGGGGTGAAATGGTGCAGGTCAATTGTGTAGGCGCTTGACCCGCACGGCTGCCATGGAGGGCGTGTATGGTGAAGGTCATTGGCTGTCTGCACGAGATGGACGAGCGTGCTTGGCCCCGCTGCAGCCACAGCGGCCGTGCGCCGGATGCACGTCTACCCTATCACATCCCAGCTTCAGCCGCTTGGCTTCTGCTGCTAACCCCTCGCCCTGCGCTAGACGGTGAAAAAGGCGAGAAAAGAGTGCCTCTTCACGCTCACGTGCCTGTGATTGATGGCGACAGCACCATGTCACCGACCACCAAATGCAAATCAGAGCACGATATACGCATCCCAGTACTGTCGGCTATCTCTATTCCTACATGACGCCTCCACATGCTTTCGCCTACTCTACTAGTCTCCGTGCTGCCGATAGTCTCCACGCCACCGGATTGTTCTTGTTCTCTCTCTCGCTCTCTCTCTGACCCATGACTATGACTATGACCATGGCCATCCATGTGCGGCTTGGGAATTCTCCGTCATTCATCCAGATGCGGCACGGCCATGGCTTACTCCTAGCCAGCGGATGCCTGAGTCCCGGTTTCTCCTCTGTGCCTCAGGATAGTGCACGGCGGGGCGCATGACGATCCGCGGCCTTACTGCATGGAAAACAACATTGAAGGCTGCTCCTGGGTCCTCAGGTACGCTCATCAAACAACATCATACGACAACGTTTACTTCACAGGCCTGTTCATCCTGTCAATGCCGTCGAGACAAAACAAAGTGGTTCGATACTCGTTCTGTATCAGTTCGCAGGAGCAGGCAAGCTTCTCTCCAACCTGGTTGTCGGAGGATTGCGTAGCCACCAGCCAGCGTTAAAGTGCTGATCGATTGGGGCTCAGCGAGCCGAACGAGATCTTGGGGTAGAACAATGGCCTGACTTTGTTTTCGAGCGGCGTGGTAGGATCATGCAGAGAGCAGTGGGTGTTGTCGCCGTTGAATTTGCGATTCTCTTGCATGGTAGTATATTAAAGTTGATTATGTATACAAATGCCTCTATTAGTACAGAATACTAGTGTACACTAGTGATGAACACCGCCACATCACCAGCCACAGCCACAATTCGCACCTATCGATCCAAGCCACAGCGGCAACTCTGTGAATGAGCCCGCACTCAATCCATTCCCATTCCCATTCCCCTCCCATCAGCACCCCCAGCCATGATTCTGCATCGCCCGAGCTATTGATTTCTCAGCCCAATCGCCCAGAGCACTCCTCGTCTTCTTGGCCGTCTTTTGCATCTGCACACCGCTCCCGTCGTCACACAAACCAAGACATGACTAAAGAGTGCCAACGATGTGCACTCGCTCAAAGGCCCACTGTGGATAGGGCCGGCAATTGGCACTTCTCCGTCCATCCAGCCGGAGGCAACGGCCACAGACCAAAATAGCGACCACATCTTGTACTCGTGCAGCTAGACACTATGCACTAGCGGGCGTAAACTCTGTGGGGGTACCTGAGCGCTTGCAGACTGCCCGCCATTGGCCGCCTGCTCCACGCCGAGCCTCTCCACCGATATCCAGTGCTACCAACCACGATCGAGAAGTGCCTCTGAGTACAACTCGGCGGCTCACACGCCAGGACAGCCACGACGGGCTCACACCATGCTCTTGTTCTGTTCCGCCGTATCCATTCTGTGTATTAGTGGGGAGGGAGGGCCACCCTAGTTTAGGAGTAGAGCCGCCACCTGAGAACAAGACCCATCTCAAACACTTGTCCCTCACCGTCTGCCCATTGCCAACGCCCATGAGATTGCATCCTAGCCATTTGCATATAACGACTTTAACATAGCAAACGACAGCGCTGGCCGATTCATAGCCCGTTTTCTCCATTTTACTCACAACACGCCTTCCAACGCCTACCGTTTCACCACGACCTCGCGTATCAAAATACCCGATCCGTCAGATAGTGTTCCCCCCAGCCCCCAGTCCACTCGTAAATCCGCCCACGCCGGACCAAAATCCTCCCAAACAATACCGCGACACAACGAGTGCGCCTGCCAGATTGACGCCGAGATTGACGTGTTGGAATTTTGCGACTTTGGTGCACCTAGTCGCAACCCGGTGGCTGCCTCTCTCCATCCATTGTCCATCACCAAAACCTGAACCCCTCAAACAAAGGCCAAAGCGAAACATTGCTCACATCGCTGCATACCGCTAGCTATCATACATAAACGGTGTCGTGCATTACCCCCGAGACGGCGAGCCGTTGTTAAGCCCCGAATTTCTCCCCTAAAGACCAAGGAAAAAATGGTTTTGTGCCTGGCGCTTCAGGTCTGAGACGCTCTTCACACACTAGGCGCTCGCGCATAGCTGCGAACCCCTCCACTACGCTCAACTCCTCAAATCTACGCCTTAGGCTTAGTAGGCATTGGCGCCTCCGCAACTACCTTGCATCGCTTCCCTTCCTGGCCATTTGGACAGTTATCGAGCTTAGCCCAGCTGGTTATACCAGAGGCCTACCAGGACATCGGCCTGAGCCACATCCGTACCGAACCAGGCCCTGTCAGTTTCAGCACAGCGTGCCGCTCTACCCACTCCTGCGCGGCTCCTCACGACTCGCACACTGATCTGCGTCGGTGAGCTCGGCTTGTTCCTGGGCTAGACATTCTAATACCCTTGGTTCCCAGCCAGTCTTGGGGTCGTCCTCCACCTCCACCTCCACCCCTCTTCCTCGCACACCACTCCGCCCGTCCCGGGACACCGACATTCTTTTCTTTATTTCGTATCTGGCTGGCCGGGTCGAACTTCGACTGGATCGTATTGCTTTTCTGGTTGAGGTTCGCTTTTTACTACGCGTACACTCTTTAATCTTTCATAATCACCGTTGAACGGACCGTCGCAACAACCACCACCACCATCGCCTTGCAGCAACCGCCACCATGTCTGGAGGAGGAGTCTCATGGTCGCGGCTCTTTACGCCGTCGAAACTCGCCTTTCATTTCTTCTTCTGGGGCTTTCATTTTGCCATCTTCGCCATAGGATGGTACGTACAATCCCATCAACTCTAGTTACACATGTCTGACATAGCCACAGGTGGAAGCAAGCCGGCGATGCACGTCTAGCACCTCTCAACGCTCTTCAGTTTTCCGTCTGGATATCCCGAGGTGCAGGTCTAGTTCTCTCAGTTGACACCATGGTTATCGTTATGCCCATGTGCCGAAACATCCTCCGATGGCTGCGACCCAAGGCGCGCTTTATGCCTCTGGATGAATCCATGTGGTTCCACCGACAAGTCGCCTATGCTATGCTGTTCTTCACCATCCTCCACGTGGTAGCGCATTATGTCAAGTGAGTAGCGCCCAGCGGTAATCCATACGTCTAAGCTAACAAGAGTAGTTTCTTCAACGTCGAGCGTGTGCAAGTGCGACCCCAAATCGCTCTTCAGATTCACTACGCAGAGGCTGGTGGTATCACGGGACACATTATGCTTCTTTGCATGCTGCTGATGTACACCACGGCCCACCACAGGATCCGCCAACAATCATTCGAGACCTTCTGGTATACCCACCACCTGTTTATTCCGTTTTTGCTCGGCATGTACACACACGCGACCAGCTGCTTCGTCCGTGACACAGCCCCAGCATGGTCTCCTTTTGATCACGACAACTTCTGGACCCATTGTATTGGCTACGAGGGTTGGCGATGGGAGCTTGTTGGCGGCGGCTTATACCTCTTTGACCGCCTCTACCGTGAGATCCGCTGTAGGCGCGAGACTAAGATTGTTAAGGTCGTCCGCCACCCGTACGATGCTGTTGAGATCCAGTTCACCAAGCCCAGCATGAAGTACAAGCCCGGACAGTGGCTGTTCCTGAACTGCCCGGAAGTCAGCTACTACCAGTGGCATCCATTTACCATTACTTCTTGCCCCAACGATCCTTATATCTCGGTCCACGTCCGCCAGGTCGGTGACTTTACTCGTGCGCTCGCCGATGCGCTTGGTGCCGGTCAGTCGCAATCCAAGCTGTACGACGAGCTGGACCCCATGGGCATGTACGAAATTGCTCTGCAGCACGGCCAAAAGATGCCTGCCCTCCGTATAGATGGACCCTACGGAGCTCCTGCTGAGGATGTCTTCGAGAACGAAGTCGCTGTCCTCATTGGTACTGGTATTGGTGTCACACCTTGGGCCTCGATTCTCAAGTCCATCTACCACCTCCGCCTGAGCCCCAACCCACCCAAGCGTCTCCGCCGGGTCGAATTCATCTGGGTCTGCAAAGACACGTCCTCCTTTGAGTGGTTCCAAACGCTTCTCTCCTCTCTCGAGGCACAGTCTCTTGGTGGCGCAGATGGCGACCAATTCTTGCGCATCCACACTTACCTCACCCAAAAGATGGATGCCAATACGGCGCAAAACATTGTCCTCAACTCTGTGGGCACAGACAAGGATCCTCTTACCGAACTCAAGTCGCGTACCAACTTTGGTCGTCCCGACTTCCAGCGCTTGCTCTGCGGTATGCGCGACGGTATCCTGGACCGCACTTACATGAACGGTCTCGAGAGCACGCTACGCACAGAGGTGGGAGTCTACTTCTGTGGGCCTAATATCGCTGCTCGGGACATCAAGAAGGCGTGTAAGCAAGCGACTTGCCAGGAAGTCGACTTCAAGTTCTGGAAGGAGCATTTCTAGATGTGTTTTGAAAAATCTAGTTGGGTGCTTGAGAAAGTGGGATTCTTTTTTCGCGATACTAAAACCATCTTGGTTCAAGGCGTGTATTTGACTATTGTTCTTGCCCATGTTATGATCATAGCCCCCCCGTTGGAAGAGGTAGCAACCCACGGGTGCACCTGTTTTTATTTTTCCTTTTTCTTTTCTGTCGATTTAACTCCATATCCATCTACAAATGCAAACCCAGAAGACTTATTTTACTTCACTACACTTCACACATGCATATGTTTGGCTTTGTGCGAAAATCTCGATTGAAGAATCAGTGTAGTATAGATCAACATTTTTGTTCCATGTGCGCGAGTCATCCTATCTTCCATCGAACCATTGTCGAACGACATTTGAACCTGTCAGTCATGTCAATCACGTCGAGTGCGCAGGGAGACAGACTCCGGGCCCGTCGGCGCTCGTTCGGCACATCTGGTTTCCGAAAGCTTGCGCATTGACGAGGGTGTGCCTAAGGAACAGCAGTTGTGCTTGGCCTGGCTTGTCAGGCCATGGGAAGGCTTGGTATCCCAGGCAGACGAGCGGGATAAGGTGAGAGGGGGTTCTTGGCGGTGTATGGCAGGATGCTATTACATGTGTATAGTACTGGGAACTGGGATTGCAGAGAGCTACTGTGGAGGTATATGTGACGGCGCTGTGCCTACGCGTTGTGACATGATGGGACACAGGATGGCTCTGCGTCGAGATGCGCATACAGTGCAGAGGGCAGTATGGGCTGATTGTGCCTCTGGCCATGAGTAGGCCGAAAAGATGTTGTAGTCGCAGGTCACATATACGCAGGTGAGATTCTGTGGTAGTATGTATGCGGCGCAACAACCAACGCAGTCCATGTGTCATTACTTACTAGCAACCCCAGACTTGTTGTTCTATGTCAAGTCACGCGCCCAGATCTTCACTCGACTCGGTCACCGGCCGACCACACACACTCGGCTCAAGGCCGAGGCAATGCCCCGACCAGCCGCCTGCTCAACACCACGGCTGAAGTATCGTGAAATCTGTCTTTGTCGCTGGCGCGCTGCAGGATACATTACCAGAAACGGTACTAGCTCCAACCCCACCACCCCATGCAAGCTTTCGCTGTCCGGCCCCCAAGACACTGACTCGGCTGGCTCCAAACGGCCAATTGCGGACTTTGTCGGGTTCCCATTCGTGGAAGTAATCCGTTCAACCGCGGTCCTGTTGTCAGTGGGGTCGTGGCCGCGACCGTTTAGGAGAGATTGTCACAACCACGCGTGCTGGCTGCCCCGCACCAATGATGGGCAGGCGGGACAACCACAGGTTAAAGACCATGGCAAGGCGAGACGGGCAGAAAGAATTGGGGACCTAGACCGTCGGGCCCAGCTGATCTGCTTCGCTGTGTACTTGTCCCTCCCTCCATCTTTCCTTCTTCCTTCTTCACTTCACTATATACCCAGGCTATTCTGCTTCTTCTTCCTTTTCATATTCTCAACCCCAAAAAGCAGAAGATGAGTGTTACCGAGATCAAGGCCTCAAAGGCAAACATTGGTGTTTACACCAACCCCGCCCACGATCTATGGGTTGCAGAGGCAGAGCCAAGTCTGGAGGAGGTGCAAAGAGGCGGAGATCTGAAGCCTGGTGAGGTTCTGTTGAATGTCAAGAGCACTGGTATCTGCGGTAGTGACATTCATTTCTGGCATGCTGTACGTTCTTTCTTAGTTCCCCCGGTCGACCTGCTGCTGCTCAGGACTTGTTGTCAAAAATTGCAACAAAAATCTCGTTTCAACAAAACACTTACTCATTTTGTATACAGGGTTGCATCGGTCCCATGATTGTTGAAGACACACATGTCTTGGGCCACGAATCTGCAGGCACAGTCATGGCCTGCCACCCCTCAGTGACACACCTCAAGCCCGGCGACCGCGTAGCCATCGAACCCAACATCATCTGCGGCGAATGTGAGCCCTGCCTTACGGGCCGCTACAACGGCTGCGAGCGTGTTCTCTTCCTGTCCACCCCGCCCGTCACCGGCCTGCTGCGCCGCTATCTCAAGCACCCAGCCATGTGGTGCCACAAGCTTCCCGACAGCATGAGCTTCGAAGATGGCGCCATGCTCGAGCCCCTCAGCGTCGCCCTCGCAGGCATGGACCGCGCCAACGTCCGCCTCGGCGACCCCGTCATCGTATGCGGTGCGGGACCCATCGGCCTCGTCACTCTCCTCTGCTGTCAAGCCGCGGGCGCCACCCCACTCGTCATCACAGATATCGACCAAGGACGCCTCAATTTCGCCAAAGAGCTTGTCCCCAACGTCCTCACCCACAAGGTCGAATTCAGCCACACCCCCGAAGACTTCCAAGCCGCCATCCTCAAGCTCACCGAGGGCGTCGAGCCCTCGCACGCCATGGAATGCACTGGCGTCGAAAGCTCCATCAACAGCGCCATCCAAACCGTCAAGTTCGGCGGCAAAGTCTTCGTCATTGGCGTCGGCAAAAACGAAATCAAAATCCCCTTCATGCGCCTTAGCACCCGCGAGGTCGACCTCCAGTTCCAGTACCGCTACTGCAATACGTGGCCCAAGGCTATCCGGTTGTACAAGAGCGGTGTTATTGATCTGAAGAAGCTGGTTACGCATCGATTTAAGCTGGAGGATGCGGTCGAGGCGTTTAAGACGGCGGCGGACCCCAAGACGGGCTGTATTAAGGTGCAGATTCAGAGCTTGGATTAGGTGTGATATACCCATGTGGGTGGACTGGCGTATTTAGTTTATATCATTTTCTTTATGGCATGTAGATTAGGGGGCTAGTTCCTCTTTGTAGGCATGTGGTTTCCGCATGGGCATTCCCGCGGCTTTTTTGTTTGGTTCTTGGTTGGTAGGAATGACGAAGGGAAATGAATTAAGATATTTGCATTGATGTTTATGTTCTTGTGAGGTGGTATCCGTGAGCGTTTTCTGATATCTTCCGTTGTGCGGTGATTATGTGTGTAATTCGATTTTGTAGTATATATTGCTACTATCAAATATTATGTTGTTGATAGCATTATCAGATATATCATAGCACGATACAAGACAGAGCCAAAATCCAATCGCTGAGTTGTATCGAGTGAAAAAGGTAGTCTATCTTCTCTGAGAAAAAATCTCCATACATATTCGTGCTCTGGTCACGTGATACCGCACCACAACATGTTCGTGGAACATGATACTTTTATAATCGTCCTTGTTTGTTCCTAGTTTTCAAATTTGAATCTAGGGCCTATGCAGTTATTCCCTTTAATGCACTATCAATACCTTCATAGTACATCAATTGCATTTTGTTGTTTATTATTTTTTCCTATGGGCTCTGGCGGCAGTGCTTTCTAGCTGCTTGAGATACTGTTATTCGTCACATAGCTAGGCGCTATTCGATGATAGGGATTCCCAAAATCTCAGCTCAGCTGTGGCTGATGAGATTGGATATTCTCAGAGCTAATTGGATCGATTTTCTTCTTCTACGATACGCCACTAGGATCAATTGTGATATACAACTAAAGCTAAAATTACCAAATACTAAATCTAGCCAGCACATGTGACAGTTTGTAACATCATTCGCGCTATTATCGTCCAGTACAGATATCCCTGAGCCACATCGGAAAAAAAATTTCACCATCGCTCACATGTGCTGTTGACGCACTCCGATCCTATCGTTCCTACATTTGGGTCCTCCGCAGTATCCATCACCGTTCTTACGTCACAAACTCAATGACCTATATTTCTTTATGCGCCATGCATTTGAAAAATTTAGCTCCCGCATCTTACATCCGCTAAGATGGAATGTCCGATTCTCGAGACCGCAGCGGTCCAACGCCTCGAACAAGGATACGCGGTCCTTGCATCGATGTCATTCTGCGCAAGCGCCCGCTGCGGTACCAACATTAACATGAATCGACAGCATTTCCTTACATATTGTGGCGACTCTGGGTAAAGCGACGCTTGTTTTGTTAAAAAAGGGGGTCGTGTCGAGTTTCCTTCTGCACTGCTTCTGGAAATGAGGAAACTGGATGCGATTGGTGTGTAAGACAAGGTAAGGGTTATGGGACTGGTGTTGGATCTTAGGCATTAATATTAGTATCTCAGACGGGATGTTAGGGCTGTGAGTGATATAGTGCAGTAGAGGGTGCAATATGAAGATTGAGGAGATGCAAAGGCATACACTGGCACTATCCGTGGTGCTTTCTCCCTTGATAGCCGTGAATCGTTTTAATACTTGTTCCTCGCTACTGTATGCTTCTTCTTTGTTGGATATCAAAGCGAGATGGGTAGTATGACTCGCACCCTGTCCATACGGCCAAGCACTCGTGACCCGGGTTGCTGTATTTGCGTAGTGTGGGTCACAATAAAAAACGTTTGGACGGGCGAGCGTACGATCATCATTGCGGTAATGAAGTGGAGAAACTAGCGGGTGGATGAACAGTAAATCGAAGATTGCTCATCTAAGCCTGAATGAAAGGGCAACTGGCTCTAGAAGGTATATGGAATGACATATATTCACCTGTCTGCATCCAACATAGCGTGAATACGTACAACGGTTGTTATAGATGTCTAGCCTAACAACTCTAACATAGGTAATAATTTTCTAGTTGTAAGAGCGAAAATCGCCTAGTTCAATCCTACTACCAAAATCTGTGCAACTAGCAATCTAGTCTCCATCTTCGCACATGAACCACAGATCGGAGAACCCAAAGAACAGGCCCATCAGTGCTCATGCGCAGCATAATATCCACTTTTATTTTTCTCGCCCCACAAATTCCATATGTAGGGACTGATTTCGTGCCTGGCCATAGACGTAGCAACTACCCTTTACTTTTCCTCCATATCCGTGCTGATAAACGTCACCGAACCTCCTACGCGTCCAGTTTGCACGCTGCCTGATTGACGACATGTCTGTACTACAATAGCAGTACATCAAAATCTTTTGCACTATACCTCGATGCATACGCAGCATTGCTTTGTTGACACTGCCGCGCAAACTATCGGATGCCGTTCTTGCATAGGTGGAAGACTCATCTGAAAATCGAACGACATCGACAACTGCCGGAAATCCCGCAGCTCAGATGACCACACTATAGATTTAATAAGAGCACATTACCTGCATGGGTCAGCTCCCGCGGTTCCGCTTACAAGGTGAGGTGGAGAGAGGAGGTGTATATCGGCCCGTCTTAACTTGGGTGTCGAGAGAATGGGCAAAGTACGACGCGTACAACAACACCATCAACTGCTAAGGTCTGGACGTTGTGCAGTCGTAAAGCAGCTGCTATTTACCTCACTCTAGCATGGACATATCCACTCTCTTTCTACTTCAGTATATGCACCTCGGCACTTTCTAGCAGAGAAAAAAAGGCGAACCCCATGCATTTCTCCAGATGACAGCACGACGCAGCCTGCATGCACAGCAAGCACAGCAAGTACCATAGCCACCCTAACTCGGAGCTACCCGTCCCTATGTATTAGTGTCTAATAAACTACGCGTCGTCATACACGTATAGAAAATTCGAGTTATACAGCATGGCCCTACCTCCCCCCAATCTTGCTGACCGGGCCGGTGCGTAGTAAGCACGTATTAGTGGCATTTAAGTAGACCAGAAATTTGGTAGTATAGTACTACAACCCAGAAAGCCGCTAGAAAGATATCTGGGGATATACGAGTATCCCTTGGCAGGAATGAATGGGACAAAATTTCGGCCCACGAGGGCAGAGCTTGGATACCAAGCTGCATGCGGTACCGCACCAAATTCAGGAAAGCAAAGGAAACATGTACCCGAACCACTCTTGGTTGCCGAGGGAGAGATAGAGTTTGTTAAGGACAGGGCTGGGATTTGCTGACACGGATTCGGATCGGCTGGTCTGAAGCTACTACCATTTCTTCTTTGCGGGTGGAGCGGACGGAAGATCTAATGACGGTGGGGTTGGAGGGTATATGTGACTTTTCTAGCCGAGAGGACGTAGGAGGTCATGTTGCTGACGGCAAGAATATGCGAGAGAGTCTGGTTTCTTGGGCTGAGAGTCGTTTTTTTCGATATCGATATTCCACGCCCGTATGTTGAGACACGTTCGTATTCAGAATGAGAAGTTAATGCATGTGAATGTGTGGAGTGTTGAAGTAAGGGCAGAAGTAGTTGCATCCTCTTCAGGCTTCTTTTTTTTTCCAGAATGCTATCCCTGTTGTGGAAGACGGGGGGCAGGAACGGTGCTTCAGAGAAAGGGAATCGGCGATTTAGGGAGGAGAAATGGCAATTGTAAACCCTACTTTCGTCGTCAAAGTACACAGTAAGCATTACACCGCTCAGGATAGCTGTGGAGGCAGCGAATCAGCTGTGAAAGTAGCGTCAGCATGCAGTATCGAAACGTGTGAGTGGAGAAAAAAATAACATACATGCAGGGTGCTTGCAAGCTATCCATAGCCTCACTTCATGGTATATGTAGTATAGGGGACGGACTTGGAGTCTTGAAGTGCCATGTCGGCCCGGAAGAGATGTATCAAAACAAGTAGATGCCCAGTGGCGAGTAGATCAGTATATGTGGTTTGATTGTGGCGAGCAACGTCTGTAAATTGCCAAAAGGGTCACTCTACAGGAACTTTGATTGGAAAGGGAATTCAGGGGAAATGTTGGTGGGATGACAATATTCAAACTTTTTGGCGTGCAGGTGCCGGCTACTAACCCAGTCGCCCCTCGAGCTAGGGCTTCAAATACGATATAGTCTTTTCTCCTCTAAAAGGTATCCTGAAATCTTACATGACACATGAAACGCTCCTGCATGGTTGTGATGAACGATATGATTAGGAGAAATTGAACTATAGAAAAGAGTTGGCGAGCTGCTCGAAGTACTTTCTAGCGGCACTTAAGGGAACATTCGCGCCCTTGGAACGTTCCTTGTCGGTAAGCTGTCTCTCGAGATGCTTTTCCAAAACCTCAATTGTAGTGTCTTCATGAGGCTGGTTTACGATCTGCAGATTCATACTGTCATTATCCGCTTCGCGACCGCCAACGACGATGATGTGATTGTATTTCTTTCCTCTTGCTTCTGCAATTTTCTTGCCAAGAGGGCGATCACTTGTGTCGATATCAACAGGAATGTGAATGGTTGATAGAGGTAGTGGCTTTGGTGATAATGATGACGCTTTGGATGTGTCTTGTGAATTCAAGCCCGACAGCACTGATTGGATGCGCGAGACATGTTCGAGAACCTCGGGGTTAGAGTTCAATGATAGTACTATAGCCGGTCGAGGAGAAAGCCAAAAGGGATATTTTCCCGCATAGTGCTCAATGAGCAGGGCCATGAAGCGCTCAACTGATCCGTAAATAGCACGGTGGATGATCACAGGGCGGCGAAATGCCGTGTCAAGGCCCTTATCCATAGAACTCTGTAAACATGCCTCCAGCTCTTCGGGTGACGCTTGGTATTGTAGATCGAAGCGTTGCGGTAGTTGAAAGTCAAGCTGAATGGTAGCTGTTTGGTGCTCTTTGCCGTTTGAATCCTTCAGGACTATATCAATCTTGGGGCCATAGAATGCTCCATCTCCTTCGTTGATAGCCCATTCACTGCCGATATTGTTCAGCGCAGTTGTCAATTGCTCCTCTGCGCGGTCCCATTCTTCAATAGTGCCAATGAAGCTATCCTTTGGTCTAGTGGATAGAAGCAACTTGTATGGTCCTAGTCCAAACGTGTTGTATACCATGCCTACAAACTTGAGCGTTTGCTCAATTTCTGCCAGGATCTGATCAGTACGGCAGAAGATGTGCGCGTCATCCTGGTGGAATCGCCGGACCCTCGTCAGGCCCGTCAATGCGCCTGAGATTTCGTTCCGATGCAATGCACTGAAATCAGCAAATCTAACTGGCAGATCACGGTAACTCTTGATCTCGTCTCTGAACAACAAGCAATGGCCTGGACAGTTCATTGGCTTCAGTCCAAACTCGCCATCCTCTCCACCATCAGCTTCAGGTATTTGAGCAGTCGTTCCCCTCCCTTGGACGCTGAACATGTCTTCGGCATAGTTTTCCCAATGCCCAGACTTTTCCCAAAGCGACTTCTTGTATATTATGGGCGTGATGACCTCTTGGAAGCCAAACTGTGGGTATTGCGCGCGTAGGAAGGACTGCAGCTTCTGAAAGACATAGGCGCCATTGGGAAGAATGAGCGGCGAACCAGGACTATATGGCGAAGTTATGAAGAGGTTATGCGTTTGCGCGAGTGTCCGGTGGTCTGTAGGAGGGGTAGGAGGGGTAGTGGTTGTTGCGTTGAGTCGCGCACTGGCGGGGTCTTCATATGAGACAGCTACCGTGTGCTGCAATTGCTGCCGCGCAGCACACGAGCAGCTCCTCGCAACGAGACGTCCATGTTGGCTCCATATCCGAGTGTTTATTTTTTTCCGTTTTACAGCTTGCAGCACGAATGGAAGCTGGCGCAATGGTGGCATTGCAAAGTCTTGAGCCGTCGAGTGCATTGACATGAAAGTCAAGATGCACTTTCTAGGCTAGCGGGGCTTGGCGTAGCCTAGCCCAAACAAAACATAGCACAATGACGTGGACGCGTTGGAGGGATAGACAACACCATCCCCCACTTATATACATACATGCATACATACATACACACACACATACATAGACTGCGTACTCTAGTAATAACATAACAGGTAATGCGCCATGATTCTTGTCTCAGCCATGTACTGATAGTGAAAGAGTGGACATTTCCGCGACACACACAAAGGCATGCAAGTTGCACCCGACACCTGATTGGCCCCGCATCACGTCACGCCTCTAACAGTGGCGACCTATTCCCCCAGCCCCCCTGCAACCAGAGTACATTCACGTCCAGTGAACGTTGAATCGTCACTGTGACATTGCTTGCCCAGTTCTTACATCTCGTCCTGCGCTGCTTTCTTGGTTTAACCTTAGCTCTGTATCCACTTGACGTCAACTTCTCCATCACATACCATGAGCGCGCGCACCAGGCGCCTAGATCGCAGCCTGGGAAGTAGTTGGGGCAACGCCGATTATACATCTGACGAAGGCGGCTCTACTCCTTCAGCGAGTGACGCCGCTAGTGACGAGGAACTAGAAGCTTCAGACAAAGAGGTCGTGCAAGAGCCTGTCTCGGACTCCATTGTTACTCCCAGGCCCAAGCGCCATCATCTCAGTCATTCGACGCCCACGGCGCAGTCACAGGATACCCAAGACAGGAAGCAAGGAAGCCGTACAAAGGCTAGCCAGTCCCAGAGGATAGGCCCCGATACCACTACTCCTAGACCCTTCCAGAGAGATCAAAGATCGCATACACGGGACTCTTCTGGGCCCAGCCTCATCATGCCCTCCATGGAAAGCTCAGGTTATGATGGATCGCCTGTTCAAAAATCGCAACCACGAAATCGAACCAGAAATACGCAACAGAGCACTTCATCAAATTCACGCCGTACGCCTCGCAGGTCCTCCACACAGGGGTCAACTGATGCCCATCGTCGGCAACCAAGGCAGAAACAGGAAGAATTGAGCCCATGGCACTATGTTAATCTCTTTTGGGAAAATGTGGGTGCTCCCATCTTTACTCACTTCTTAGACATCTTCTCCTACGCTGTTAGACACTTCATCAAGCCTTTTCTGGGTGTTGTCTTAGGTGTAGGTATCTTGGTATTTGGGATTCAGCTGGCATCCGGTATGCTTCGCTCTACAATTTCAAACGCCGTTATGGGTCCTGTGTGCGCCCTACCAGGTTCCTCCTACCTCGTCCCTGCTTGCGCTACCGCAGATTCATTTGCTGGAAACCAAGCCGACTTTGAAGAGCTTATCAATGTCCAAGGCAAGTTTGAGGATATTCTTGATGCATCAAAAGACACATCGGCGCTGCCTGCGACAATCAAGAACTCTGAGCTCGCCATCCGCGATCTGCGCATCCTAGTCAAACATTCGCGTCTGCCTAGTCGAAAAGCGCTAGAAAACGAATTCGAATACTTTATCCAAACGGCAAACGAGGCGTCTGTCGACTTATCACGCTACAACAGCCGAATAGGTGCTGCGATGGACCGCGTCATCGCAACTAACACCTGGACTATGAACGTGCTCTCGGGCATCTCAGAGCAAGACGCCTCTGTTGGAGCTGTTGGAAAGCTAATCCGCCAAATGACGGGCGCATTTGTCGCGCCACCGCCTTCACTTCAAGAACGCATCTTCGACCAATACGTGCTGCACGTGAGCAAGAACAAGGACGAAATCACACGGCTAATTGAAACCGCCCAAGCGCTTCTCCTCGTCCTCAACAATCTCGAGGAGCGCCTGACAACCATCTTCGACATTGCCACCACTGACGACCAGTCCATTACCCGCTCCCAGGAAGAACTCCTGTCCTCGCTCTGGACAAAACTCGGTGGTAACCGTGGCAACGTCAAAGCAAACAAGCGATCGCTCACCCTCCTCTCGAACATCAGCGCCTACCGCCAAAAGGCTGTCGTGCATGTTTCCGAAACGCTACTCAAGCTCCAAGAAATTCAAGCTGGACTAGAAAATCTGCGTGAGGGCGTTGCGGCGCCTGAGATGCTGGGTTACAAGAGTGGAATTCCTGTGCAGGTGCATATTGATACTATTGGTAAAGGGGTCGAGAGGCTGCAGGTTAGCCGAGGAGAGCAGTTGAGAGCTGAGGGGGATACATATAGGAGACTTATGCGGGGCAGTGAGGATGGGGATGGAAGGAGGGAGTTGCCTGGGCCGACTGTTGTGGTGAGGGCGAGGTAGCGGGATTGTGCCTTGTAGCAATCTTTTTCTTTTTGATTAGAGTGCGTTGTTGATTGGCTGTTCTATGTTACAAGCGTTGATGGGCCTCTCATTACCCTACTAGATTTTTTTCTCATATGGCAGCAATTCCTAGATACCCTTCTTTTACTTTTGGCCCCTCATACATTCGACTGCAAGAAACATCTCTCACTCTAATACATCTGCACCTCAACCAAACACCTCCTCACCCCGCCCTCTCCCAATCCCTCAAACTCGAGTTCACTTGCCACACAGCCCCGCTGACTACACTCCTCCCTGAAGCCATCGACACTACCTCCAACGCCAAAATACACCCGCTTGGCCGCCACGAGCGTCTTGCCCATCTTGACACGCCCCATGAGCGCCACAATGGCATCGGCAAACGCCGTCAGCGACGAAGGACTGTATATAGTCTCTGAGCCAAGGATAAAAGTGTTAAGATCAGGCGACGAAGGAATGAGCGGTAGTAAAGCGGACGTCGGAGCCCATGAACCCGAGAGAAAAGTCAGTGTAATGCCGGTGTTCTGCAGGCAAGCTTTGAACGCCTGAAGCAGCGCAGGTGTGATGTATAAATCCGCGTGTTCCTCTTCACAACCAGTAGGCTGATCTGAAGACAAAGTTTCATCCCATAGCAGCGGGTTCGGCGTGTCTTCAGCGAATAACTGCGCACTCTCTTCTTGACTCAGTGTTGCAGCCCATGCCAATACGAGATTCGGCAGCGTAACGCACCGCAGGACATCAGCATTATAATCTGTTAGAGTAAAATATATCCCCAATCCTTCTCTTATCGCGTATTGGAACAACAGCAAAGAGGGAAGTGCACTTCCGCATCCCATTTCAATCACGTGGCCCACACGCACCAGGTCGTCGAGATCTTTCCGTGGTCCCCGGTCCAGCAGGAAGCGCACGAGGTCCAGACTGCATTCCCATGTCTTGTAGCCGCCTTCGTAGACGTTTTGCTGCAGGTCACTGGACTCGAGGCCGGAGAGGGGCGACGCGGTTGTGCCGTCGTCTTCGGCCATGAGTTGCAGACGCACATCGAAGAGTTCGCGGCGGGGGAGGTGTACGGTGGTGCCTTTGGGGGAGGTGAGGGAGACTGTGGAAAAGGATATCTTGTCGGGGAGGGTGGAGAGCTAGGGGAGGTGGTTTTTAGTAGGTTGAATTATTTGTAACATTTGGGGAAATAATGATGGAAGAATCAAGAATATTGAATAGCACAACTTTGCTGACTCTTGCATCCATTCTTGAATCAAGAAATGAAACCAATGCTAACCTACCATTTCATCCAAGTCATGAGTTCGAGCTGCAATGGGCGGCGGCACATTACTTTCCACAGTACCAGTTTGCTGCCCACTCTGCTCCTGCACATCATTCGGATCCTCTTCTATGTCATCGCCTGAAAAGCCAAAACTAAACGCCATTGCTGATGGATGCGCCGATACTTTTGATAGTCGAATTGAGTTTAGTGTTCGGAGAGGGCCAGGTGCGTTGGACCCAGCAAGTGGGTTGGCGGGGTGCAGAAAGCATGTGAAAGATAATTTTGGGCTTATCGATAAGACATTGGCTCGTGCACGGGTGAATGTCAAATTGAGTGCATACCCATACATAACTCGCCCAATGGTACCTTTCGTTGTTCAGGTGCTGTGAAACACAGACGTCTATAGAAGGGGCTGGCAAAGGTTTGAGTGCGCAAGTGTTTTCTTTTCTTCTTATTAATCGCTCCTGTGCCCGCAAAAAGAGATCATAGTCTCATGACTTCATACATGCGTGCAACGCTGTTGTAGCACAAGCATTTTTTTTTCTACCATTTCGTTGCAGCATCAACAGTCTTGTGTTCTGGTGTGGCTTGAACATGCAAGTACCTACTCCTTTTTTACGTCGACTCCATTTTCATCCCCGTTTCCTGCCTGGCGATCCTCCGCCATGGTCCTCTCGAATTGCCTTGCGCACGCCTCCATAGTGTCCTTGTCTAGCTCCCAACCCGTCGTGTCGATTCCCTTTGCTTTTGCGTCGTTTATGATTTGCTGCCGCTCCATAATCTTCTCGCGCATGAGCTTGATTGCGCCACCCAGCACAACAGCCTCGCTTCGTCCCTGTCCCTCTAGGCCTGGTACGATGGAGGCAAGTCGGTCGAAGCCTTCTCGGATTGCCTCACGTCGCTTCTGCTCTGAGCGGATGTGGTTTTCCTTCTTCTGGGCTTCTGTCAGGCGCGGCCGGTCAGCGGCATTGGTTGGACTTTGAGATGCTGGCATGGCGACACGTGGGGTTATATCGTGTGATGGGCAGAAGAGCTTGCTGGTACGGATAGTGTTCCCGGACAGGCGAGACTATCCGGGCCAGTTGGAGGGGTTGTGCTGTTTTCGTGGCGCGTGCAATGTGTGAATACGAGGTGCTATTGTTTGTTGGATGTCGAAGCGTTGAGCGCAATGACTGCGTGAGCTACGGAGGAAAGTAAGTGGGAGACGTGAGTGACATGCTCCTTTGGGACTGCAGAGGCAAAAGAGCAAGAGGGAATAGATAGGATCCACAAGGGTCCACGCGAGGCTATACTATGAGCCTCGCGACCGTTGGTGGTGTTGCGCAAGGCACGAAATGCGACGGGTGACATTCATGTGAAGACGCCAGCGCGCCCGAGCTTTCTGCCATCTCGGCTACACTAAGTACGACGACCGGCAGCGTGAGCCGGCGAAATAAAGCGAATTTCATCGTGGTGCTACGTCGGCGGAAAGCGGGTAAGATGAAGAGAGGGTCTTTTTGGTTGCATCGAGGCGGAAGATGTCTAGATTCTCCAGCGAGCCTGTGCAGATAGACTGGCTATCCATGGACGTGGGCGTGGTGAAGAGGTGCATGTGCCCTGAGAAGACAGCGGTGAAGGGCTGGCGGGATGCAGAACAGCAAACGGCATTGGTTCTGGCAAAACGCTCTCATCTCATCTCTGGCCAGCATGTCACCCATACAATTATTATACTCGCGGCCAATTTACGCTTTGTTTCAAGGCTGACTTGAGCGTCCAACGGCGACTGTGAGGCTCGTAGCCCCCCCCCTGCCCACAGAGCAGCGTGTGACGCACTGTGGTGGAGCTGCCGGCGCGCCACCAGCAGCGACCCCATCGCCCACGACGCGACGACTAGAAACACTCGGTCGATCGTCTCACACCTGTGTCAAGAGCGACAAAAAAAATCCAAAAAAGAAAACAGAGCGACACTAGCTAGGCGCAAGAATACATCATAGTGTGTTTGCAGGCGGCGATATCACAAGAGAAGGGTCGGGTTGGGTCGCTCTGCCCCCCACTACTGCTGGAGAAGGTGTCTCGTTCCACTGGGCAGCAGCGGCCGCCCCGTAACACGCATACATACGTACAACACCATCACCACCACCACCCCGACTGCGGCCCTGACATGCGCCCAACCGCGGCCACACGCCCTTACCCACCCCATTGATCCCTCGCACCCTCGCACAACCATGGACAGCGTCCGCGGGAGCAACCGTCGCATAAACAGCCTGCAGACCCGCGAACGTCTGCGCAGCAACAGCTCGGCCACGCTGCGTGGGAAGCGCCCCGTCACCGCCCAAGATGCCTACCTCTATGCCCTGCGCGTCGCATTCCTCGCCTACCTGCTGCAGCCCCGCCAGAAGCGAGTCCAGCATGTCCCCTCGGCGCCCAAGCAGGTCCAGCGCTCGTCGACGTCCATCAACGACCTGATGAAGGACTTCTCCCTCATCAGGGACTCCAAGAGCACTCGCTTCCCCCGCGACTTCATGGCCGCCCTCGATAAGCGCATCACAAAGGTGCTCATGGGCCAGGAGCGCATGCCTGAGTTCCAGGATGCTACCGTCAAGCGCACCTTTGCCGTCTTCCTCAATGCCTTCAAGGACCCCTCGTTTCGAAAGAACATGGACAAAGACAGGCGAGTCGAGGACCTGCTCCTCATCTTCTACTCAAATGCCACAAAGGAGCTGCAGAAGGGAAAGGCACCGACCGACGACAGTTGGAAGCTCATGGTCGACCGCCATGTCGCCCTCTTCCTTCGCCTCGTCAGCTCCATCCTTAGGGACCACGACTGGCAAAGGGACCGCCCCGAGCTTGCCCAGAGACTTATGACCATGGAGAAGAAGCTGCTGGTGCACGACCAGGATCTCGCCGCTGAGAACCAGCGTAACGGCGGTCAAGGAGGCACAACCATTGAAGTAGAGATTCCCCGAAGCTACGAGGTCAAGGATATGCCGCTTGTCCTGGTCGTCTCGCGCATCTTCTCCGTCAGCTACTCTGATGTGCAGAATGACATCAACAGATACAAGTCTGTGTGGACCGAGAAGGCTGCACTACAAGATCTAAAGACATACCAGGCCCATCTCAGCCTCATGACAAAGAAGACGCTCAACGCCGAAGACTTTGACACTGAAGAGGCATACGAGGCATGGAAGAACCAAGAAGTGCCCGACCTTTCGCAGATGATATTGGCAATCATCCAGTCTAACCCCGAACTAGCAAAAAGCTCACATGGTGGAGCTGTACCCCAATTCAAGCCAAGAGCACCAATGGATGCAGGCTATGCAGACGCCTCCAGACAAGGGTCCATGTCTTCGGAAAGTGGCTCTTCATATGTAATTGACCAGCCTGTAGACATGAGCGGGCTTCACATCAACGACGACTATGACCAGGACTCGTCGTACACTTTTATACCCTCCGACCCACGTGCTACTTACCGTGCGATACTGAACGAAGCGTTGAAACATGATCTGGCCGATTCCGAGCTCGAACCGACCGAAGCAACTGCCGACAGCCCATCTGTGAAGCTGCTGTCAAAGCAATCCGCTGAGCTCCTGAATGAAATAGCCCTTCGGTGGAGGATACCCCAGTTCTCGCGGCTCGTCTTGTTCATGGACGTTGTGTGCGAACGATACACCAATCAGGAGGTTGACTTGGATACCCTCGACGCAGCCTTCAGCTACGTCAAAGAACCACCACCAGTAGACAAAAGGGCTAGCCGTATGAGCTTTATTCCAGTTCAATCATCCCTCTTTGACCGGACTAAGTGGACAATTCACGACTATGCACTTAACCAGCAGATCTTGTCTGCGTTGCATGACTGTCTACTGCGCGAGCTTTACGAGCTCATGATGCACGTGTACATGTCCAAACCACCTCCCCTCGGTCCAGTCATGTATGTCCTGGAAAATCACATATATGACGACCCCACATTTCCAGGTACAGAGGAAGAAATGGACAAATTCACTGAGCAGTTACGCCAAGGCCTAAGAGAAAAGGCTAGTGATGTGTACCGCGAGCTTCTTGCGAAGCACATACCAGACACAAAGGAGGAGTGGGAGTTCTATCACGTCATTGAGCTTGGTCGTGCCGTTGTCAAATTGTGCGAGCGGATACAGAAGCGTTACCGCAAGAATCCAGAAGTCATGGGTGCCAGTCCGATGATGTGTCTTGTGGAGAAGATCTTTCCTGCATATGCTGCTGATGCACGAGACCTGGTTGCCCGCATCATGGACGTTGCTCATAGCAAAGGAGAAGATGTCCCGATCCAGGATGGGTTTGACTTGTACAAGGAACTCGTCGAGATTCGCCGCATCCACAGCGACGCTTTACCGGGCAAGAATTTTGCTTTCAGTATCGAAGACCAGCTGCAGGATTTTGTATGGAGATGGATACAGATGACGGATGAGAACCTGACTGGCTGGGTGGACAATGCGTTCAAGGCAGATTCTTTCCAGATTGAATCGCAGAACCCTATACCCATGGACGATGAGAGGCATAGCGTTTCGGTTGTTGATGTTTTCCGATCCTTCAATCAGAGCATTGAGCAAATCGTAGCTCTGAATTGGGATAATGACGTACATTATGCCAAGTTCATGACAGCTCTTTCCAAATCGATTGGTACTGCACTTGCGAGGTACTGCGAGCTCGTAGAGCAGAAGTTTGCCCGGGAAATGGACCGTTTGACACCTGAGCAGGAAGCTGCTGCTAATCAGACTAGACAAGAGAAATGGCTTTCTACTGTCAAGGACTTTTACAGCCAGAAGGAGAAGATTGAGCCTTTCCAATTCTACCCCGAGGTAAGCCGCCAATATCGTTAGGCGGAACCACGCTGACAGAAGTAGTCTCTTGTCAAACTCAACAACATTGAGTATGCAATGCAGCAGTTAGATAAGCTCGAACGCGAGATTGGCGTCGATGCTTGCGCTGAGGTCCTCCAGAAGAATGCCCCACCCCAGCCGCAACGCCTTCGCAACAACAATTTTGTCTTCACCATCAAAATCATTGAAGCTGAGGATCTGAAGGCATGCGACATCAACGGGCTTAGCGATCCGTATGTTGTGCTTGGTGACGAGTACCAGAAGCGCCTGGCTAAGACACGAGTCATCTACCGCAACTTGAATCCTCGCTGGGAAGAGACCATTGACATTACCACCAACGGTCCACTCAATGTCGTTGCGACAATATGGGATTGGGATGCCATGGGCGATCACGACTGCGTTGGCAGAACATCGCTCAAGCTCGATCCATCACACTTCCGGGACTATATGCCCCGAGAGTATTGGCTTGATTTGGATACACAAGGCCGCCTGCTGCTACGTGTGAGTATGGAGGGCGAGCGAGACGACATACAATTCTACTTTGGCAAGGCGTTCAGAACACTTAAGAGGACTGAGCGGGACATGACACGAAAGATTACAGACAAGGTAGGATATGTTCACCATGTCAGTTGACTCAGACTAACAACGGCAGCTCTCATCATTCATTGGCTACAAGCTTTCGCGCCGGTCACTTGATGCTCTTCTGAACAAGGGCGTAGCTTCCAAGGTAACAAACTACCTAGGGAATTTTCGATCTGCGCGGCCCATGTCAGTTGTCCAAGGACCGACACAGCAGGATATTACGCAGGCTCTTGGCCCTCTCTTTGTCTACTTTGACGAGAATTTTGCCATTATGAAGCAGACATTGACGGATGCAGCCATGATTATGGTCATGACGAGATTATGGAAAGAGACACTGGCAACAATAGAGTCGTTGCTGGTGCCTCCACTGTCCGACAAGCTCTCACAACAGCGACCGCTGACCCAACAAGAGCTGGACATTGTGTTCAAATGGCTCAAGATGTTGTTTGACTTTTTCCATGCCGTGGATGAGGATGGCAACGTCGAGGGAGTACCGATGGATGTGCTCAAGTCGCCCAAGTACCATGAGCTGCAGAACCTCAACTTTTTCTACTTCGAGGCAACGGAGGATCTTATCCGCACGTCTGAGTCCATGGCTGCAGCGAGCGCAAAGAGACAGCAAGAGCAAGCGCAGCGCATGAACCGCATGTCTGCTCCAGCAAGCATGGGCCACCAGTTTGGCGGCGCTGCAGGATTCGCCGGTGTGCCGTCTCGTCGACACAAGACGATTATGCTGTCACGCAACTTGGGCACGATGAAGAAGGCTAAAGAAGAAAAGAGAAAAGAAGCGCAAGCTGAGCCAAACGACGATATGATTTTGAGGATTCTGAGAATGAGGCCGGAGGCTGAGAGGTACCTGAAAGACCGGAGTAGACAAAAGGTATGTCTCATCTCAGCATGAAGTTTATTATTGTACCTTTTTCTAACCTATTATGTATAGG